AATGAAGACTGAGTAGGCTCAATAGTCTTTGAAAGGGCTAGCAATCTGAAAAGGAAAACAAACAAACAAACGGGGGAGAATGGCAGTTGGACTTACCTGAACTGCATGTTTCGACGAGAAGTGTGGGAGGAGTCACTTCCCACCCGTTAGGGCGCCCTGCGCCGTGAAGCAGGGCCTGAGCCCGTCCAGGTTCAAGCAGCGGCTAGGAAGAATTGGTATTGGCTGTTTCTTTTTACTTCCTTTCAGATACCGTTCAGACGTTCGGTTGAAGTGGGTGGTCACCGGACCAGCAGGAGGTGTGGCTTCCAAAGTTTTCCTCAATCTCCAACAGGCAATCAGATTAGGTTAACACCCAATGGTTACTCCTCCCACACCTTCTCTTCGGAAACTGGAATGGATTATCCTAAAGGAAATATTAGCTAGCCAGAGCTGTGATTGGTGCTGTTATGAATAGGATCACAATACATATCAAACTAGACCTTTGTTCATGATCCTTATGAACGTAACTCCGAGATAGAAAGAACAGAGCCCAGCAGAATGTCTCTTCAGCCCTCTGCATAAAATTTTGAAAACCCACATAGCTTCATGTCCTGAAGAAAATAACATGGCGGGCTAGAGGATTCTGGGAGTTGAAGTCCACACATCTTAAAGTTGTCAAACTGAGAAATGGTCATCTACACAGAAAGGAGGATGCAGTGCCTCTGCCAGATCTATTATAAAACCTCTGCCAAGTCCCTTCATGCTTTTCCTTATGGTTACATTGCATATTATTCTTATATAAGAAAGCACAGCCCACGAATGCATGAAGTCCTCTTGAATGGAAACATAAGATCTTGGCTCGGATCATTATTATCATTATACAAGGAACATTGCCCTGATTTTCCAAATCTCTACACCTACATCATTATTTCATATTGTTTTTATATAAATTCCCGGAACATTTAGTTTTTTGTTTGTTTTGTGTGACAGAGACCATTGGCAAAATCTGTTTTCTTAAAAGTCCCACAAACTGTTTAAAAAATGTCCAAACAGGCTTTTGTGAAATGAAACATCAGGTTTTAATTAAAAACCAACCTCCCTGGTTGATTTTTCCAAATATATCTATATCTATATCTACATCAACATCTACATCTATATCTAACAATTTATCCAATCCTCACAAAGTTAGATTCACAACATACTCTTCCACAGTATCTCATTTCGACTCCAAAAGACTAAAAACATTCCCCTTAAAAGTGATGCTGTGTAACGCTGCATGCGCATGCACAAATGGCCCAGTTGGGTCAAATATAGCTAAGGAACATGGGTGGGTGGGTGGGCCCTCCGGCACACCGTACCAGAACGGTGCCTGCTGCTCACAGCAGGCACTGGTACGCCCGTATTGGGACGTACTTCCCGGAACCCACCACTGTTTCATAGTAAGAGACCTCTTACCATGAGAGGGAAGGATGGGAGTGGGGAATAGTACAATTTTTATTTATTCCTGATATAGGAGATTACATTCTTATAAATATGCTAACAGGAAGATAACATATAACTTTAGCTCCTTTACTGCATCCTTTTACTAACCATTAGTATGTACATGCTTAGGCTTATGAAGCCACTAAATAAGGAAAAAAGTAAAATAAAAAAATAAAATGAAAATAAATACTTAAAGAACCTAGCTATGTGTTCTGAGATTACTCCTACTTAGCAAGTATTGAAAGTTGACTTACTACTGTATGAGACTAGGCCTGTTGAGACAGCCAAAAAACAAAAACAGTGTAGCTTTTTGATATCTAGTTGTAACTCTTCCCCCATCTCTTTTTCTTTCTATTTTTAGTGGGAAGAGTCATCTGCTCATTTTATCTATTAAGAATGTCAGAATGAAACAGTCAGTTATATATTAACAAATTCATCTCTATGAAACAAACAAGCAATATATGTTGAATAAGTAGTTAAAATACATCTATAATGAAATACATCTATACAATTTATCCTTGCCATTCCTTCGAATAAAAAAAATGCTAATGCTGGGAACAAGACCATGGAGTCCATCTGATATGACAACTCTTCCCTATAAAATGCTAAATTCAGGAACTGAATAGGCACAAGAGAACGGTCTTTGAGAATTACTGGTTTTTTTTTAAATGGAACGGAAAAAGAAAAAGACAAATATATAGGTGTCAGAGATGCATGAAGTCATGTTCCTATTCTGTCAGTTTCACTATAACGGGTAAAAAGCAGTATATGAGATATTTACAAGACAATCTATATTGGCTCCCTCACTCAGCAACTTTATTCTGTTTTTATTACAGTTATATCCTACTGCAACCTGTTGATTCTTGAAATGTAAACTTTCACACAGTCTATTTAACATGCTAGAGAAATTCAGTATTACATTCTCTCAAGTCTAGGGCATTTAAATGTATTTGCAAGTATGATGGGCAAAGAATGAAAAAAAGAGCACAGTGAAAATGAATGTATCCTTATTATTACGATACTAGTTTAGTTTTATTTAGAGTCATGGATCAGCTGCCAGAGGAAACACAATATAGAGAATAGAGACAAAAAACTATTTTTTAAAAAAATACTATATAATATTAACATGTAAAATTTATAAAGGATCAAGAAAGCTTATTAATCACAAAGATAATGTGAAAGTAATTGTACTGTGTAGATTATTAATATTTAAAAATTGCAAGGCCTAAATTGTTCCCTTTATACTTCCCAATAGCAATTGATTAACTATTTTCTACCTCTATGGAAAGCCTTCTAGAGATATTTTTCTAGATTGTCTTCTGCAGATAGACATTACTTTTCTAGTCTATTTGCCTCAGTACTATTATACAGGGAGTCCTTTAATTATGTCTTTAATTATAAAACCTGCCCGTTATGGTCACAAGGAGTGATGGCTATTAAACAAGACAGCCTCACTTAATGGCCCTTAAAGTCTCCCCTAGCCCCCAACTGAAGCTTTTCTCAGCACTGCATAGAGTAGACCATTTCAGAGAAGCAGAAGAGAGCGGTCCATCCCTTAGCCATGTGGCAGCTTCCTAAAAGAGGCCCCTGCAAGGATGGGGTGAAGTTGTAGCATCCCTGCAATCAGTCTTAAAAGCAGAGGCCATAATTTAAAAATGGGTTTGTATGTAACTTCAAATGGCCGCTAAGTGAGGACTACCTATACCTACTTAGTCCATGTGATTATTTATTTCATATGGCATAACAAAATATAGCATTAACTGTTGCTTTTATTAGAGGCGATGTTTTCCAGTGATAGCCTCACTTTATAAAACAGCTTCACCCCTCTGAAGTTGGACTGGTGACAACTATTGGCAACTTTATGAAAAATGGTCAAAAAAAGATATTTTTCCTTTGAAATCTGATGTTCCTTCATCCTGGATGGTATTGTTGATTGTTTAATGGTGATTACAAGTATTTTATTATCTAGTGTAGCTTTATCTTATTCTTGTTTTGTTTCTATATTATTTCTATTACTATAAACTTCCAGGAGTTTTTTTTTATTTTGGTAGCTGAAATAACTGTTTTGTTGAAAGGTGATAGATGATGGATTTTCTACACATCAGATAGCCTGGACAGTTTAGGTTACTGTATTAACTTTGAACACTAAGCACTGAACAGGGGGTATTGAAATAAGATAGACAAGACAGACTTTCCACATTCCCACACTAGTAAGGACACAACCTCTCTTGGTTTAGAATGCTGTTGCATTTTCTTTCTTATGTAACTTATATAAATCAGGGGTGAGTTGCTGCCAGTTCGCTTCGCGCATGCATGCGCAGTTGACTATAAATTGTTCTGAGCAGGTGCAGAACATAAAAAAATTACTAAAAAACACAGGAGAACCAGTTCGGGGGAGTGGCCAGCCTGGGTTGCTCCCGGTTCTGCGACCCAGGCCAAAATATCACTACCGGTTCGCCTGAACTGGTGCGAACCAGTAGTAACCCACCTCTGATATAAATGCTATTGGTAAGGTATTAAATCTTTTCAGAGAATAGGTTTTTTGGTACAGCACTCAGAGATGCTAATTAAAAAATTAGCTCAATTAAATATTCTTCCTATCAGACCATACTCATAATAGCAGGAGATTTCTCTTCAATCTTTATGGGGATCAATGTTGAAGACACATTACTTTAATTAAAAGTAGGTTTGCCTAAGCTCTAAATATTAGTTTAAAAGACTATAATATATAAGATCAAGTTTGATTCGTTTTTTTCAGGTTACCCAGAAGTTATCCCAAAAAAGTCAAGGAGACTGAAGATCAACTTTATCCTAAATTTAACGCAATAAAATCACATGATTTGCATACATATTTCATTTTGTGATTATTTGTTTAATTATTTCTTAATGGTTCCTAGCTTCTTCTTTCTTAACCATTATCAACCTAACATTTACTATCAGCATATTGGACATGACACAAGATCAAAAGGTGATTCAGTTGTCATCCACTCCCTAATATATATGGATGAAGATATAGAGAAGGGAAGAATGTATGATTAGATTATTAGACTTGATTTTCCATCTGCCATACAAAAGAGCACAAGGGTCATATTGGGGATAGGTTCCAGTGTACACTTACCCCTCTGCCCATCAGGCCATTGTTGAAAGGAAGGCCAATAAAGCTGAAGGCTGCCTCCTGTATAAAATATGGATTCAGGATTCGGATCTCATGGGGCTCTCTTGGAACATGGGTTGCCACAGACTTCCAGAAGCCATCAGAAGCACTCTGTAAAAAGGCAAAGGGCCATTGCAAATAGTTAGAGAACCCTAGTCCTGGTTTCCTTTTGAACTCACCAGCACTGTAGAAAGGAAATACAAATTAGGAACTGCATCCAGAATCTAACGGTTAATTGTGAGAAAAATTGGGAAACAATGTAAGAAATTAAAATAATGGGCCTGTTTCAACTTATTCTTATTTGGATCTTTAAGATAGGTTCTATCCACAGATTCAATTATCTTTGGAAATTACATCTGATTTATAATCCAGGCCTTGTTAATGAACACAACTGTTTAGAAAAAAAAGAGGGGGCAATGCATATTAAGAGGAAAAAATCACTAGTAGTGTACCTTGCCTGATCTCACATATTAAGCACATTTGGTTAGAGCAATGTTTCTCAACCTTGGCGGCTTTAAGTCCTATGGACTTCAACTCCCAGAATTCCCCAGCCAACTGGCTGGGGGATTCTGGGAGTTGAAGTCCACAGGACTTAAAGTCGCCAAGGTTGAGAAACACTGGGTTAGAGGATTCTCTGGGAATTCAAGGACTAGACATGAATTAAGAAAGATTCACTTTCAGAACACTAACAAATAAACTGCAATAACAAGAAATCAAATTCAGATTAAGGGCATTTTAATTTTGATTGAAATACTGTACACAATAGCTACAATAAATAATTTACACAGGGAGCTTTCATACTTCAAGGATTTTATTTCAAATTCATATTTCAAAAGTTTTACACAAGGCATGCTCCTCTAATGGAACACAACTCCTTATGGAGAATAACAGTGGAAAGAAGAGATGCATTCAAGAATTGCATGGATATGAACATACTGTATATCCCTATCCATGCAAACCTTTTTGCTTTTCTGGAATAATGAGAAAGATGAAACTTCACTCAAGTTGTGCTTAGAAGAAAAAAATATGATCCCGCTGGGCTGTTCCCTAGACTGACCAACAAGATTGGTGGTATATCCTTTTGTTTTCACAGTGGGCTATATAGACAGTGTTCTCTTTGCACTTGTGGACCGTAGGGAAAAAAGAATGTCTAGAGAAAAAAACACCTCATAAATCCAGGCCAGGGAGAACTCTGACATATTAGGAAACTCTCAGATCATGTCTAAAATGGATCACATCTTTATTTACTATAGTTTGGTTTCTGCTTCTTATGGTGCCCATGGGAAAAAGAATTATTTGAAAATCTACAACTGAGGAAAGATTAGTTGAGACATATCAAGTAGTTACAGAGTATCTGCCGCAGCATTGATCTCTTCCAAAACAATCCATTAAAAAAAACTTGTTAAAAATACACTAGTCCCAGAATTTAATGAGGCATGTAAGATTGGGATCACATTTCCAATAAACTCCACCAACACAATTCTCGGTGGATCTAGAAACATACCAATTTCACAACACAGTAAAATGAGAAATTGCTCAAGGCTGTATCTGTTTCAAATTAAAACATGCAACTGTACAATTAACAAACTGTTTTTAATAATTCCCATGAGATATTTATTATCACCTGTTTCCAAAAAGGGTTGCAAAATCTATTGGGATTTAATGATCAACTAACAAAATGATCCAGTGGGCACTGTACTGATTCCTATTCTTCCTTTCCTTTTGTCTTCTTTCCCCTCATTATCCATTGAGACTCTTCTCCACTTTAAATCTTTATGGTTATCTAGCAACGGTTAAAACGTACAATATATGGGAAAAATCTTCCTGATAGATGCATTAAACCAGGAGAATACAATATGTAGTCCTTGATTTACAACCACAATTGAATTTCTGTTGCTAAGCAAGAGTGTTGTTTGCGCTGTTGGCCTTCTGCCAATTACCTCCCTGCGTATCAGATCGCACAGGGTAGGCCTCCTCCGAATTCCATCCGCCAGTCAGTGCCGACTGGCGACTACGCGGA